GGGTGTGCTGCACACGTTGCCGGATAAGCTTCTTTAGTCTGAAATATTTTTCAACACATGCAGTAGATGAAAGAAGGTCAATGTAACATGAATCCATGAAAATTCCGACGAAGGGATTTGGTAATGTACGGCATGCTACCGGTTAGTGACCCGCATAATGAATGGTTTTATGACAGTGATATAGTCGATTATAGTACAGAAAGGCGTTCTGTACCCCACTCAACTTCTACACACATTCTATTTACCCAGACTCTTTATCCGTAGAAAAAAGACAACGCTGGGTCGATATGACGCTAAATTTGAATAACAATGATCGGAAAAGGTGATCAGTGCCGAAGTTCCGTTTGATTAACGCATAAAGAAGGAATAAAGAAACCCCCAAATCCCTTTCAAGCCGCTCACAGTTATTTCCAGTCCATTCACTATCGCACTCCCACGCACTGTCTGTTGCCTCATTCATAGGTGGTGTTGGAAATCGGTTATCGACAAGCGTTACGCAGACGCAGACGTTCGCTGAATGGAACAGATGACGGGTTGACCAATTCCTGTCAGCATGATGGACAACAATTTACCTGCTGTACACAGCCGTTGAAAATTCACTTTTCCGAAATTGGTTGGGATCGTTGGATCATACATCCGAAAAAATTCGAGCCGAATTATTGTCGTGGATCTTGTCAAGGTTAGTGGTCCGATTGACAGTTCAAATTTACAATAACCTTGAGTGATTCACTGGCAAAATGTTAGTTTTACGCAGTTTCTTTGCTCGCTAAAATAGGTCCGAAATTTTTATTCACCAGAGCTAAACACGAACCCCCCTCCATCCCTTTCCAGTTTGGTTACTAGTACAAAACTGGAAGAAAAACTATAGGATCCATCATCAGACTGGCATTTGAGTAATATCTGTCGGTAGCGGAAACGTCACTTACACCAGAAGATTCGTACATTCTAGTTTGTACATCTAGTTTGTGACAATATGGTTAAAACATTACACCGTGTATCTGTAAGTCAGCCTGAAGACAGATAACCCGCAAAAGTGGCAAATTCCCCGAAATTATTACTTCAGAAATGCTTCATCTGAAAACGAACGTGAGAAGGATCTCGAAAATTGGTCTTCCTTATCCGTTTCTCACTCTCTGAGGTTTATCCACAGAACAGTCACATTCACACTGATTGTTCTCAATGCGCCAAATTATTTTTTCCGTATCCGTTAGGGTTGACACAACAATGTTAGTCTGGAAAATTATTCCACTTTGCTCAGTTCAGTTAACGAAACACAATAGAATGTTTTTCAGTCAAAAACAAAGCGGTGTGTTGATTGTTTATACTGGTTCAGAAAACAGAACGCTGATAAATATTTCGCTTAAGTGAAACAAATTCAGGTGAATTGAACATATAGTTGAGTGTTGTACTCGCTAATCATTCACCCAAATCGAACTAGTAGTTCCAGAAGATGGACAGCGCCAAATCTACCAAGCACCGAGTTGTTTATTGAACTCTGTGATCTTTCCGATCACGTTTTTCGATCGGGCGCGGGTGTTTTTAAAACTCTGAAGATTGTTCATAAGGCAATGATATCAGACGGATGCTCCTGATCGTTCAAAATTTCTGGTTTAATATTTCTAACTTTTCCAATTTGGGTTCTCCTGGAAATAGTCAAGAATGAGCTTTCTGGTATGACTGCTGTAGCCGAGTACGTAGTGGAACTAAGACCATTAGTCCAATGACATTTCCGAGAGGGGAAATGGACCAATCATGAAAAAAAGGTGAAAAAATCAAATTTTACCACTGAGCACCAAAAGTTTGATAGGATGCGATTTACGCTACTGATACCTCGAGACGTTATGCCAAGTTCTACCGCTTCTTCACCTTATTCTTTGAGTCACTGTAGTCACAAGTTCACCAACTTTGATGGATTTTTTGCAGCCCACCACGAAATTCTGTGCGGTGCCTTAGGCCTTTGACGAAAGCATACTCGATCTGAACAAATATGAGGCTACAGGATTCCTTATTCAAACGAATCCGTGTCATTTAAGTTGTTAACATCATAGAGCTTATTTCTCCAATGATGTGAATATAGAGCACTGGGACATCAGCTTCTTTGTTTATTGAAAACATCCCTCCCACTGAATGGCAGTGTTAACCTGATAAAGATTACTTCCCCACGGCCAGAATGTGAACTGGAATACCAGCAGTCTTCAGACTGTTCGCCTCAATATTCCCCAGCCATGGGAAAAACTCTACGATTGAGTACCTGTACACCGAGGATAGAGAAAACCGTGATATATGAAAATCGGAATGACTAATTGAGCTGAATTTTTGAAAACAAAACGCCGGTAATTCACAATCGGCACTTCCAGAATTTTGGTGTACGTTTTCACTGCGTGAAAGACAAAATCTGTTTCATCACATCACTCCATATGTACCACTAGGTATAATTCACCGATGCTTTCAGAGAACTGCATTGGGTTATAACTCACCTGTGTCAGATAATCCGTAAGAGAAGCGCTAAAGGAGTGAGGACACTAACTGTTTACTGTCACAAATCATGGCTTCATGGCTTTCGCAATGAGACTCCTTAATTCCAGTCCAGATAAAGAAAACGTGTAAGCTCGAGTTTCTGAGTGATTACGGCAATCAACAGTAGTTACAGTGTTCTTTCACCCGAATACATCACATCACGAAATGTATGAAGCCGCTACTTGAATCGGGAGAACATGGTATCCCGGATGTGTCAGCTGGCACTGACCCTTATTCTATGTCGCTTGCATTTACATTTCGTTCCATCTACTTCCACTTTATCATCTGCAAAAAATCCAAAATCTCTTATCTCCGTCGAATTCCCACGCACACACACACACACACACACACATACACACACATCATGCACAGGTCTCAGCTGAATTACTCAACCGTTTTTGACTGTCAACCTATTTAGCACTTTATTATTATTTGAAGCATTGAGTTCCCTTTATCCATTTCATCAAAACAGAAAGAAGACAAATGTCGCGAGATGTTAACTTTTCGTTTAATCTTCTCAGTCGCTGACTTAAAACACATATATAGCACATGGGATTAGTCAATTTTGGTGAACAAACGTGTACAAGCATACAAAGATTACTAAATTTAGACGTAGAAGGTCAACTCCACGGTAAGTGGATTGCTTGTACCAAAAGCTTCTGCGCGCACAAGGTCGGGTGATGTAATCAGTGCTTCTCTAATCGCTAAAAGTTTAGCATTTCGATTACGTAATAGTGGTTTGAAAGACGAATTAGGGTCAACTGTGTCTTGTTGCCATGACATTTTTTGCAGCAGATGATCTTGGATTTCTTGCAATCACTTGGCCTTCATTTGTCGGTTGTGTCATCGATTTCATCAACCACTTTGTAATATGTTCGGCCATCTGTTGTGACAGCTGACGGTTTGTTCTGCCTATGTATGCATCACCGTAACTGCAGGTGAAATGTCAATCATTTCACTGCACTTGTGCACCATCCAGACTCAGCGTGCGCGCGGGCTCACCGCATTCGAACGCAGTCTGAGCAATCAAGCACAAGCGATTGCATGCCATCAGACGATGCACATGTGTACGCACTGACCAATCGCGAGCAGGCAGTGAATGTGTGTGTGTGTGTGTGTGTGGTGTATGTCACAAGATTATTTGCTCATCGTGAATTCGGGAGCGAGCTCAAAAAGCGCTGAATTTTGATTCGACCAGCACGAGCACCAGTTTATTTTGGTGCGAAAGTTGTATTCAAGGTTGACTTTACATCACATCTTCCCCATTGCTGTTCTTGTCCCTCCACCACCCGGTTTATCCGTTATCCCAACAGCACTGTAGTTATTGACTCTTTCGAGACACACCGAGCATCATTGTTTACACTTGTGATGCAATCCATCTAATTTTAACATCACTACACCTCATTGCACGGTGATACTCACGAAATCGTTCTACTTCTTGTTCATTTCCTTTATCCCGAACCCTCCCCCTCTTCGTTCTCTTTTGCAATACACGCCCGCCCACGCACGCACCGCTCGGACCCCGGGTCAGTGAACGGATTTCAAAGTACGCACTACGAAGTGCTCAATCTGTTGTCTCACAAAAATTTGACCCAGTTGAAGGATGTGCCCCGCGGAACTATCCAGTCGTGTTGCTATCCAACCCGACGAACCACATTCACTTTACTCTATCTGGATCGGAACAAGGATGTACGAATGCACACATTACACAATCTAATTGTACTCGGATGTGGATGCAGCTAGCTCTCTCCTTCTCTCTTCCTGTGGGTATCGGTTTGTTCACATACCCAC